AGCTACATTTCTGTTAATTAAGATCAAGATATTTTCCACAAAGATGTCACTTGTATCATTCTTAAAGTACCATAGACAATTTGCAACAGAGGAGGTTCATATCACTTCTTCAAGGCTCTTCTTCAGTGACATTTACAGGGGGGCGCTGTATACATGAAGCTANTTCACAAAATTCTGACTTAATGTAATTTTTTTAGAAAATATGCTTCTAAAACAGTTTTTTTTATAAAATCACAAAATCGAATATTTCTTCGAAACTAAACAAATACAACTACTAGTTCCTTCATCAATTGTATACATAATAGTAATATCTAACGATTGAATTAATAAAACAGGGATGTCCGCTTCTAAGGCAAAATAAAAGACTGTGCGATGCTCCGTCTAACTCGCCATAAGTGGGATTGTGGGATTCCGGACAAAGCCTTCTCTACCACAGCCGGGGGCCTAGCCCCTGACATGTCATGTCCGGATGGATACGGGCTTTATTAGGGCGATTAGTATCATAGCTCATCACCATCATCTTAGAATCGGTAGCCATGGGTGTGGGAAAAGAGGAATGTCCACGGAAGAGGAACTACGAAATTCTATCTATTCGTTCAGCGCNCATGGCTGTATAGCATTTTTTCTATGGGGAAATTTCAAAATAACATTAGTTCCGACTTTTGCCACATGCCAAATAACCGTATCGGAATCATGCTCGAACTTTTTCGCGAAAGTAAAGGAAACGATGCCCATTCAGCCTATTTTGCAAAGATAGAAAATACGTAGATTCTGGGACTAAAGTACGTAGGTTTGCAAGGAAGGCTTAAAATACGTAGATCTACGTAAAAATACGTAGAGTTGGCAACCCTGATTGCCTCTGTCAACTGTCAAAGATTTGTCAAAATTGTTTGCTTTGGTGTGTCAGCTGTGGGTGTTAAAATTTTGCTAATTTCTTCTAAAAATCGTATTAAATCCTTTCACTTCATTCATTACAATAAGCCTTCATCATGGCAGATCGTCTTACACAACTGCAAGACACCATTAACCAGGTAAACGACTTACAAAACTTGGAAACTTTGTACCTCAATGGTACCTACTAATTGTTCCCTGGTTTTGACTTTATTTCTTTTCTGCAGCAAGCTGAGCACTTCTGCAACAGCATAGGCATATTGCAGCAGTTCTCCACGCCTAGCAAGTTCCCTGGATTTGACCGGAGTGGTTCGCAAACGCCTCAACAACAGCAGAATCAGGAGGACTATGCAGTGTTGTTTGCGACGCTCATTTCGCGGTGTGCGAAGGATATTGACACGCTGATCGAGTCCCTGCCGAGTGAGGAGAGCTCGGCAGAGCTACAGGTGCAAAGCTTGAGGCGTTTGGAGGCGGAGAACAAGGAAGCTGCTGAGCAATTGGAAGAAGTAAGTGTTCTTTATGTTGTTAATATTACCAGGCCTGTTCATCTCAGAGAGTTTACATCGAAAACAAAACGCCCGATGGCCCACCTACAGGATACTATTCGACAAGGCCTCACATACGAGCGAACATTGACTCACGCACGCGTATTCTTGTGTATGATGGAAGAAAATAAAGAAAGTGGTGTACTAAATACTGTTCAATATTTAATTGCCTAAATAATACCTAATAAAAACACAGAATGCACTTTTTAAGTTGCCTCAAGACACTGAGAGGTAAATAAGTAGTTAATATTATCATTCTACCGAAGTCAGCCCTATAGCTTCGACGCAGTGCCGATCACTGACGTTTGTCAACAATATGGTGCTTGACTCTTGAGACAGGCTAAATTACACCATATTGTTAGAGACATTGAGCATACATTTTTTCGCGAAGTAAAACTTCTGTACTTAGTACTTATTATTATTCTGTGATATTACAACAAAGTACCTACCTATTAGTTCAGTGATTTCAAGGTTTTGTGCCATAAATATAATCACTATACTTGCAGTTATTATCCCTTGTTATATACACTCGACAGCAAATAAATCGCACCAACCGCGACAAGCATTTTCAAACGTATGCATCCCTACTTCCCACCAATATTGGCACCATTTAAAAGCCTAATTCTAAACTTCATTTTATTAAAGGAAAGGTTTCTACCCCAAAAATGTGTCTTTGCAAGGATCCAGAGTCACTTCTTCAAAAAATAGGTAGTTACGCTATAGCCATTTTTTATGGCCATAAAACTGTTAAGTTGGGATTAATCACTATCCATCTGTTAAAGAGGACACGTGTGATTATTATTTGGTTTTATAACCATAAAAGGACATTGGGAACTTTAATATGAGAAAATGCCCCACGGCGGACAAAGATGAAACGTATTTTATTTCAAAGCTTTATACTTGTAGGCATATTCACTTAAAGCGCTATGTTGTGAGATATGGGAATTCTGAGATATGACGAGTCTAAGTTGAAAATATATTTGTCTAAAATGATTTGATATTTTTACATGTTATGTTGTTTGGCATTGCAGAGTAACCAATAAAAGTAAATAAAATAATGTAAATAAATAAAAAATATAAATAAAATAATATAAATAAATAAAATATTATAAATATTTAAATTAATATTAGACAACATCTCATATATTAATCCAACCCAAAATAAGTAGCTAAGGCATTTGTGTTATGGAAATCGGGAACGACGAACCACAACACACCCAAACCAGAGACAATGTGAAAAGATCGTTTTCTATATTGTCCCGGCCGGAAATCGAACCCGGGACCTCAGGATTGGCCCGGCACACCTTGAAAACCGGTGTGTGCGCCTCTCCGCCACGGAGGTCGTCAAAAATGTTACCTAAATGTAAAATAAAATAAAATATTAAAACTTCATTTTCTCAATATTCCCATATAAGAGAGAAAAAAGAAATGCACGGAAATTCATTGGATATTAGTATGTATCATCTGTGATAGGTTTCGTTTGTGTCCGCTACTTTTCGAAAAGTGGGGCAAAAAGTTCCCAATGTCATTTGGTCTAATTGATCCCAGAGGTGAGCCCAAAGTGAGGTCTTTTTTCAAGTCACATTTATGGTATATGTTAATCATTTATTAAGAAATTAAATGTAAAACACATTTTCTTCTTTAAGGATATTTATTGGGCTTTCAAATAACACCAATCAATATTGTTGGGGCACCATTATCATTATTGTGTCAAAAGAAAATCTTTAAAGTTCGCGTCGCGGGTGGTGCGATTTATTTGCTGTCGAGTGTAGTTTGCAGCATTTTTTTGTATTCAACTAAGACAAAAAGGGATTTCAACAGTCTGTTGTCTGCTGATGAATTTATTCCTATTAAAAATGTTGTTTAGAAGAATTTAATCTGTAACAAATCATTAAACTGCATTTACAACAGACTATGAAAACGTTTTATTAGCAATTCTTCATTTACATAAGTACTGATTCTAAAACTTTAAATAACTAAGAGTTTCCTCTCGCTAGCATGTTTTTAAATCTTGAAATACTTCCAGGTGGTCCGCCAAGGTGAGATTTTGCTCGAAAAGATCCAAGGAGCCCTGAGTGACATCGCTCAAAGCCAGCTAGACATGCAGAACCCAGCGCTAATCCTAAATAAAGACGTTAAGCCTCAGTTATAGGGCTCGAAGAAGAGCGGTGGCCACCACCGACGGTGACCTGGTGTAAAGACTTTTTTTATTAGTTTAAGTTGATACTTAAAGCCTGGTCCATGTGCGACGCGCGCCCGCTGTGACTGTGCGAGCGCGACAGCAACATAATTACGCGCGAGCGATAAGGATGGGTAGCTTGGGGTCATTGGACGGGATTCTACGTGCTCACGGACCAGGCTTTAGTAAACCACTGGGTGTTTTTTGTGTGTAATGGAGAATCCATAGACAGGTGAAAGACTGTTAAAAACTTACTGCAGATGGTATTACTGTACCAAAACTTAATAGTGTATAAAAGCTGAATGTTTATTAATGTAATGTTTCTCTAGGTTTTCATTATAAAAGTATGGTCTGTGTTTCAGACTGTATAAAACTGTTTTCTTATTGTCTCCATGTTGTGTTTTAGGCTGAAGGAATCTAACTTTTGTTTATCCTCCTTTTAATGTCTCCCATTTTTGTTTATCATACTTTAAAAAACTAATAGAGCCTTGCAGTAATTTTGCTAAAAATAAACCCTTTCTGTAACATTAAAATCTCTCGAGTGGCGAGACCACGGGCTGGAACACGTAGCGTGGGCAGGCCTCCTACTAGGTGGGCCGACGATCTGGTAAAGGTCGCGGGAAGAGCCTGAATGCGGGCAGCGCAGGACCGTTCATTATGGAAAACCTTGGGGGAGGCCTTTGTCCAGCAGTGGACGTCATTTGGCTGAAAACGAACATTAAAACATCTCATTGTACTGACTTTATATCTGCCTAATTAAGTATTAGGTTTAGGAGGATGTTCATAGATATAACTTCTATTGTTTTTTATCCCTCATCTCCAAGTTATAGGTTTGATTGTATGGTATTTATTAAAATAAGTTCTAAATCCATAAGATATATTTACATGAATAATAAAAACCAGTTTCCAATTTAATTTCAGTTGTATGATTAATAGAGTAAGTATACAGGGTGGAATTTTGTAATGCCACCTGGAGGGAAAGTACTCTTATTACTTTAGATAGAAAATTTTACTCAAAGAAACATTCCTTTATTTTTGAAAAGAAAGAGAACTGCATTCAAAAATTTTCGAAAATTTGCTTTCCACACCCGGGAAGAGTACTTTCCCTCCAGGTGGCATTACAAAATTCCACCCTGTATTTTGATCCTTGCCCTGCAAAGTAACATTCATGGCAGATTCAATTTCGCTACCGCTTCATTTCGCTAATTTAGCGAAAAAAACCACGCGAATGCAATAAACACTGCTAAATAATATAAAAGCACTCTTAACGCGACGAAGTTTTGCATAGATGGAGGCTAGATGGCGCTGTAAGCACAGCGTACACTCGTACATCGAAGATGCGGAAAGTTCAAAAACAAAAAAAATATTTACTTAATATTTATTTAGTAGCTTTCGGCCCGCAGCTTCGCCCGCGTAAAATTTTGTCTGTCAAAAATCGGGACATAACTATCCATTGTCCCTGACCCGGAACTCGACATATCTCTGCCAAATTTCATCAAAATCGGTTCAGTGGTTTAGACGTGAAAGCGACACAGACAGACAGAGCTACTTTCGCATTTATAATATTAGGGATTTAGAATTATCTGAGTCCTACCCATTTCCCTGCAATGCCTAGTCGGGAGCCAATTTGCAGGTAGGTAGTTCGGAAATTCGTCGTCGTCGTCGTCGTTCTATTTCTTTTCAAAAATAAAGGAATGTTTTCTTTGAGTAAAATATTTGCTACAGTATTAAGAGTACTTTCCCTTCAGGTGGCATTACAAAATTCCATCCTGTATTACACTCTACCAGAAATCGATCCCAGTATTTTGAAGCATTCTTATTTGAATTCGCATTACAAATTTGCACCAAACGGGACTTATCCTACCGCACTTTCCCAACTCTGTAAGTACTGTAACCTGATAGTCAGGCAGGATCTACAGCATTGGCGTATCTAGGGTTATTTTTCAGGACTCCTAGCTCCTTTTTTTACAGGGAAAAAATACGTTGAATCCCATAATTACCCTGCGGGAACAGGGTATGTTATGTGATGTGATGCTCACCAAGTCAGAAGGACGAGGCATACCCACTAAAAGACCCCGATGCTCCGTCTAACTCGCCATAAGTGGGATTGTGGGATTCCGGACAAAGCCTTCTCTACCACAGCCGGGGGCCTAGCCCCTGACATGCCATGTCTGGATGGATACTGGCTTTATGGCGATTAGTATCATAGCTCATCACTATCATCTTAGAATCGGTAGCCATGGGTGTGGGAAAAGAGAAATGTCTCCGGAAGAGGAACTACGAAATTCTATTTGATTCAGCGCCAACCCTAAAGTCAGATTCGAAAATCCTTGCGAAACGTCGGCGCACCTTCACCGGTCAGCATCCGAAGACGCCACCGGTCGCCGGCAAGTGGCGCGGAAACCTTCCAACGCACCCAGCCTCTCGCCGCGCTCACTAGTTGATAACCGACCTCCACGCCGCGAGCACGCGCGACGCTCCCTCGGTTCCGGAACAATCCCGTGACGTTCGATTTACGAATTCAAATACGAATTTCAAACTTTTGAACATTTAAAACTTTTTTTTTTGGTGAATGCAATGACATACTTTTTTAAAGTTGCCAGTAACTTTATTTTTAGCAACGTTTGATGTGTTTTTTTTATAAGAAAGAAGTTTTATTGGAAAAGGCATTGGATGTGAAAAGTGGAAATCGTCCGGAAGAACGGGTTGACTCTCCCTCGCTGCTTCCGCGACAGGTATGTTTACTTGTTTTTGTAGGTGATNTATGTTTTGTAGGTGATGGTGAAATTGTTTGTATTGCCCACACATTGGTGCGAGCTCATAAATATTTTAACATTCTCTTTTTGCGTTTAAAGATATTTCTGATAATTTTTGTAAACGAATCACGATTTTATTAATTATTTATTTCTGAACTCCTACATTGTTATTGTAAACTATTTTTACCTTCTTATAACTACTAGTTTAAAAGTTTCAGAATTCTTAGATACATTTAATATCTCAGTTAATAGGTATGCTACCTAATAAACAGCGCTGGTTTGTGAATGCTATTGCCTAGATACTTAATTACTGCGAATAAGATTTAAGTTTACACCACAATTTTAAGTAATCTTTAACTTGGTGGAGAAATATGAATCTTTGCATACCAATGACTTCGTTATAATATGAAAGTAAATGAAAGGCCTCATTAATGCCTTAGACGTTTTCTATTCGACGATGTAGAGGTAATAACGATGCATTTCATCGTTAGTCGTTAGATAACATTCTCTGGCTAATCTGTCTCCGATAATAACTTTACGAATTAAACCTAAGCTCTATAACAATATTCCTTCATCACTTTTGAACTTCCGTTGAAAAAGTTATCCTGACTCTATGGCCAAAAGCAATCACACTGCCATAGGGTGAATAACCCTCTATCTGGCGCAGTCGAAAAAAAAGGAAATTTTGTAGAAAAAGGAAAAAAAACCGGAAATACTATTTTTTACGGCTAAATTCGAAATACTTTGATAGTTTTAACTTAACTTTGTGGTTCCCACATAATTTACAGAATAATAAGCTTAAAAGGTTGTGTAAGTTAAAATTATCCTATTAATCTGTTAACTTAATGCTGTGTATAAAAATATAATTTGCTGACTGTCAAAATAAATCATCGCCACTCTAATTGAAGTAACTTAATAACATAATTAACTATTGTTAAATGATCCCGACACATGTCCATCATAGCTAATCTATTAGAGCTGACGCCGGAGCCAGCATTCCATTGAATCAATTTGCCGCCATGTTATTATTAATGCATTCAAAATTAGAACACAATTTATTTGTCTACGCCACAATCACCGGTATGTTAAGTACCGGTTATGCGCGGTCATATTGACATTTTGCATTTTTGTGTTGATTGATTTGCAAACGCGGTGAACCAATCAGCCCCCTTAGACAAAACGCACTTTTTAATCGAATCGAAAATCGAATCCGTCAAAACACCATACAAAAAAGGGGCTTTTCGACCACTTTTCGACTGGTTTGCGATTATAATTTGCACTTTGTCTAGACCCACAGGCACTTTGTAGTTAAGTACACAATATTGTCATAATTTGTAGAAAAATGTTAAAATAATATCGATGAAAGAGATTTCTTCTAGACAACTAACAGTGAAAAGAAAAATAGCAAGTTAAAATAAAGGAGAGCTGACTCTACCATTTTAACTTGTAAATACATAATGAAAAGAAAAAGATATTATGTACTTTACCTATTTACAAGATTTCACATCATGACGTGCTAGCTAAACTAAAAACTTTCAATAGTTGTAAAGCTAAATTATATAAATTTCAATAATATTTTTGCCCAATTATTCATGTCCGAAGAACTAGGCCCTATTTCTATGATGAAGTTTTATGCAAAATTGCAGACCAATCCGCAAGTAAAAGTTAGTTTATAAGAAAATTATTAATTCTACATTTTTATTGAGTTAATTAAACAAGGACGTTATTGATAATAATATTCCAGGAAAGGAGCAACTGATGTCGCAAAGTGCAACAATATTTTATTGTAAAATACCTGGAAAATAACAATAACTATTGATTATTGATTGCATTTTTAAACATAATGACTAATTTAAATGTAAATTTTCTAGTAAACACAATCGTTTAAAATGTCATCAGAAATAGAAGCTTGGCCTTTCAACTGTTCTTGTGCTGCATCCAGTATTGACATAGCAGCCATTCTTGATTTAGGTAGGTATCTCTCACTTTTGTCTATAGCTAGTAGGTTTTTTTGCCATTGATTTATTAACAGGTCTTTCCGAATGAAAATGCCGATTTTATCATAATATTCATGAGTTTATAATTCCATTAATTTAATAGCTACCTATTTAGTTTTTTGTTGGATAGAGGATTTACATTGACATTAAAAATGTTTTGTTTATCTACTAAAAATATATTAACTTCTAATTAAATCTTCAAATAATTAGAAACCACAACTGTTTTAAAAATACTCTTCATTCTGGTCTTAAAAACCTAATTTATTTTAAATTACCTGTAAATTTCGATTTTTGTTCGAATTGTAATTGTAAAAAGTAGTTTAATTGGGTTGACAAAATAGTGACGTCACTTGCTTGTAGTGCCATACAAAAT